TTTGCGTGCGCGCGCACCAGTGGTGGGTTTCAAAATTTTTTGGAACCTCTTCTGTAGGTGTGGCCTGCTTTCCGGGTCCACTGGTGGAACCTCTTCTAACCAGTTCGGTAGATTTGACGAACCGGTTCTACCGAATAGGTGCGAACTGGTAGGAACCCACCTCTGGCGCGCACGCACCTGACCTCCCTGCCACACAGGAAAATAGCTGAGGCGCAGCAATCCATCAGCTGGGCCCAAAAAAACCCCAAGGAAATATAGTTGGGTGAAGCCCAGAAGCGGGTTGATCTTCGGAGCTACCAGCCCGCACGAACCGGCCGAAGCCTCCTCCTGATGCCAAGTCAAGGCTGAACAAAGTTGTGTCTTCCCGAGACCACTGGATTTTTCCGTGGCTTCCGGCCAATGTGGCTGTGGGCTGGTAAAGAGGGTGACAAGCCAGGATATGGTCGTGCTCTTTCGCTCGCCCCATACTTACGTCGAAATTCTTCCACCACCGGATTGATATTTTTCGAGATCAGTTCTATAGCCAGGACTCTGTAGCCTAGGAAGCAAACGAGAGGCAGGTGAAGAAACATGAAAGGCTTCTCGAACATGTTTAAACCAAATTGGGGCAGGTTAGGGTGCTAGACTGGGCATAAGGCTCTATTTAATAGGACATGAGTGGAAAGTATACCACTTGGTGGGAAACAAAGCTCCATTTAATAGGAAATGAGTGGAAAGTATACCACTCGGTGATTGTTTTTGTCCTTACTGAATGTTCTTACTTAAATTGGTGAGAACTGCATCACTTTGACATAATATGGCCACTGTGATACAGTGGTTAGAATGCAGTATTGAAGGCTATTCCTGCTGCCTGCTGGCTGCCTGCAGTTCAGCAGTTCGATTCCCACTGGCTCAAGGTTGACTCAGCCTTCCATGTTCCCGAAGTCAGTAAAAATGAGGGTCCAGATTGTTGCGGGCAATATGCAAAAAATGTGGACACTGTAAACCAGCCAGAAAATTTTGTAAAGTACTACAGGACGGTATATATAAGCACTACAGGATGGTAAATGAGGACGCAGATTGTTAGGGACAAAATGCTGACTCTGTAAACCGCTTAGAGAAGTCTTTAAAGCGGTATAGAAGTCTAAGTGCTATTGTTATTTTCCTTCCCTCCCTCCCTCCCTCCCAGTGGTTAAAATGCAGCATTGCAGGCTAATTCTGCCAATTGTAAGGGAATCGACTGGCTCAAGGTTGAGTCAGCCTTCCATCCTTCCGAGGTGGGTAAAATGAGAACCCAGATTGTTATGGGCAAGAGGCCGACTCTGTAAATCTCTCAGNTCTTATACACTGAATACAGCATTTTTTGCCTCCCGAAACCCCGCCCCCTTCATCAAAATGGCCATGCAGAGCCTTTAGGAGGCTTCCAGAGTGTTCCTGGGGCCTAGGGAAGGCCAGAAATGAATCGCTGCGATTGTTAAGATGGTCACTGTTAGGGATGTCTTACCCCCACAGTATTTGTCTCCAGAGAGTAAGTCATCTGTGTACCAAGTTCGGTTGAAATTGCTCGAGGCATTCCAGAGTTATGCTGGGACAAACATACACAACAGCCATTTTTATATAGAGAGATTGATTGATGATTGAGTCAGCGTCTTCATTTTTAATACTCAGCAAAACAACCCTCCATGGCTGTCAATTCTTATTTTGGGTTATTCTATTTAATTTTTTAATATTTCTATTTAATTTTTTTTAAACTTTTGTATTATGTGTTTCTTTTAATGTTGTACGCCGCCCTGAGTCCTTGGGAGAAGGGCGGCTTATAAATCTAATAAACCTAAACCTTCTGGATGTCCCTAACAAAGCTCAGGTGATTTGTGGGGGGGGGGGGCAGAAACTCAGCAGGGGTCCCCATCAGCACCCCTTCTAAAAATTGCTCCCAATTCTTGGGCGCCCCCAGCACAAATGACACAGCAGAGAGCGCCCGCCAAAAAGCTTTCTACCTTGCACTTTGCCGTCAAAATACACGTAGGTTGTTCCTTGGCTGCCGATTTTCTTCCATTCGATCCTAGGGTTCGCTGTTTTGGTGGCAGCAATAATGCAGGAGAGTTCGGCTTCTGCAAAGACACACACACACACACACACACAACAGGCATCACAAGGCGATGCGGAGATAGATGCCAGGCAGGGGTGGGGATCCTACCAATTTAACAACCAGTTTGCGGAGCAGGCGCTTTGCGCGTGCACCAGTGGTGGGTTTCCAAAATTTTTGGAACCTACTCTGTGGGTGTGGCCTTCTTTGTGGGAGTGGCTTGCCACCCATGTGTTTTCTTTCTTCCTCTTTCTCTCTCTCTCTCTCCCTCTCTCTCTCTCGCTTTCCTTCCTTTTGTCTCTCTGTCCCTTTTTTTCTTTTTTTCTTTCATCTCTCACTCTTTTTCTTTCTTTCTCTTTCTTCCTTCCTTCCTTCCTTCCTCTTCTTTCTTTCTTTCTTTCTTTCTTCCTTCCTTCCTTCCTTCCTCTTTCCCTCTCTCTCTCTCCCTCTCTCTCTCGCTTTCCTTCCTTTTGTCTCTCTGTCCCTTTTTTTCTTTTTTTCTTTCATCTCTCACTCTTTTTCTTTCTTTCTCTTTCTTCCTTCCTTCCTTCCTTCCTCTTCTTTCTTTCTTTCTTTCTTTCTTCCTTCCTTCCTTCCTTCCTCTTTCCCTCTCTCTCTCTCCCTCTCTCTCTCGCTTTCCTTCCTTTTGTCTCTCTGTCCCTTTTTTCTTTTTTTCTTTCATCTCTCACTCTTTTTCTTTCTTTTCTTTCTTTCTTTCTTTCTCTTTCTTTCTTCCTTCCTTCCTTCCTTCCTCTTTCCCTCTCTCTCTCTCCCAGTCTGCCTGTCTGTGTGTGTGTGTGTGTGTGTGTGTGTATGTGTGGCAGTGGTGGGTTTCAAATTT